AACCCTGTGTTTGTGGGAGGTTTCGCTTTGGAACCTAGCTACCCTCTGCTGGTCTCCGCTCAGTGTCCACTCACGTCCCCTGCTGATGCTCTGTCCAGATGGCTCAGCCTGATACGGGGCAAAGCCCGACACCCGAGCTGGACTGCTACCTGGGGACTGCCTTTCAGAGAATTCACCAGAGAGTTCCCCTTTGCTGTCTGGAGAGGTTTACAAAGCCTATCTCGCCACTGTGTTTCTCTCTTACTGGTCCTGGGATGAATTTCCTGAGCTCCTCTTGGTCACCCAGCACCTTCACGGCGAATGGCTAACTCGCCTGTTGGTGTCCAACATGTCACGCCTGCTTGTCTACTGCTCCCTGGCACGTTTTTATCTCAGAGGTGAAACAAGCTCCATGATACACTCGACAAAACACTACCAGGATTTAGTCAACTCGGGCACCTGAAGTGGTCTCCCTTCTGGAGGGGTCTTCAGGCTGTCCTGAGTGAAGGACAGAGCTGGGGAAGCAAGAAGGATGCAGGGCGGGATGGAGGCTGTGTTCCAGCACGGGGCCCAGCTGCGTCTCTAGCGCCCTGGCTCCTGCTTTGCCCTGGAAGTCACCACGGGGAGGAGCCGGCCTCCAAGCACTGTCTGTTCACCTTACCGCTCTGCCAGCACTGGAGTGCCTGCACTTGTCCCCAAGTAGCAGGGACACAAGGTCCAGGTGACAGGGATCCTAGAGAGTACCAGGATTCCTGGACACACAAGGATGGTGTCTGGATTCTGGTCCCTCCTTTAACCAGCTGTGTGACCTGACCACACGCGTTCCTCCCCAAACCTTAGTGTGCTCCTCTGTGAAGTCGGGGGTGGAGCTGGCTCACGACTAGAGTGTTTTTCCACTTAAAGTCTCTGAATCTGTGGTTACTTCCTCTTCTTCATCAATTGCTAGCCCCTGTGAGAATCCTGTTTACTGAAAGTTTGACGCCGGTATAAAACTTGAACGCCACTGGGTTGGACTATGTTGGGCTTTCCTGGTTAGAACACGGGAAAACAGCAAAGCCACTGATGGATGCATCACCCAGGGCCACTGCTGGTTTAACCAGCACCTCAGTGAGGAACAGGAAATGGGGTTCCGTCTGGGTGGACTCCCATGCAAGTGGGGCCAGTTCATCCCCTACCAAGAGGAACCCTGGCTGCTTGTAGCCTCACATACCCCCAGCAGTCCCTGTGCAGTACATGACCTGCATGGTCATTGGCAGGGCACAGACTTCTTTGGGCTCCAACTCCTTTAACTAAGGAGTAAAACAGGAAGAGACTGGAATAGATGTACAACACTGACAGGACTGATGGAGACTTATAGTTACTGCTTTGAAATATTTAATCCAATTAAAAAGCTAAAAGTCCAGGCCCGAGATGCTGCCTGATCCTACACCTACCTACACAGACCATCTGAATTTGATAGCTTCAAGAGTCTTGATTAGTAACAATAATAAAACCCCTTACATTTTTATAGAGCTTTACAATTTATGTGGCACATTAAGTGTACTTACTTTTTCAATTCGATTCTGATTCTAACCATTGCTCTGCTGAGTAATAATTATCCCTGTTGCAAATTTAAGGGAAATGGAGCTGAGAACTTCAAAGACTTGTTCAAGGGCAGCTCATAAGCGGTCAAGCCAGGAACTGAACCCATGCCTAACTTCTGAGTCCAAGGTGTCTTTTTTGCATGCAAGTTGTAAAAGATCCTGGCCTGGGCATTGGCAGCCAGACCTAGAGAATGACGCTGTGAGGGTCTGGAATTAGCCTGAGCAGGTATCCTTCCTGTTTTCACAAAGGCAGGGCTCACCCACGTGGCTGCTGTAACTCAAGATTTGGGGTATGAGCTCTGGAGAGGTCCTGGCAGATCTGACAACTGAACAGTGGTATTTTTCCCATGGGGAGTGGACTCCTGGGGTTTCACTCACGTAGGGTAATGCATCTGTACTTCCTGCACGTTGTTAGCCCAGAATTCTCTCTACAGTGTTAGGGACTGCCCTGCCCCTGAGAGTCTGGAGAGGGTCATCTGCAAGTTACCGCACGCTGCGATGGTTACATCCGCAGGTCACCAGTGACAAGCCCAAGACCCTTCAGTACTGACACAGCGTCCCTGATGGTGCCATCAGCAGCTCATCGGCTGCCTCCACACTGCTTTTTGGGCACAACATCCGGGCTGGAGAACTGGAGCAGCCTCCACCTCTCCCGGAGCCTCAGCCCTGTACACCCAACTGCTCACCACAGGTCTCCACCTGCACGCCCTCTGGGCATATGCACTTAAATACGTCTCGAGCGTTGGCTGCCGCTTCTTCCATGGTCTGCTTCTACTTCATACGACGTCCGTGCACGACACCACAGTGCACCTTCCCCCTTCCTCCAGCTCACACCTTGCAATCGCTCTCTGTTCCACTCACTCCTCCCTCACCACACTCCGTTAGTCCCCCGACACCGCTGATTCTGCTTCCTAAACTCCAGTGAGACCCGTTGCCTTTCCTCGGTTTCCACCACCACTTTTTTTTTTTTTTTTGGACAGGCAGAGTGGACAGTGAGAGAGAGACAGAGAGAAAAGTCTTCCTTTACCGTTGGTTCATCCTCCAATGGCCCCCAGGAGCCAGGTGCTTCTCCTGGTCTCCCATGGGGTGCAGGGCCCAAGCACTTGGGCCATCCTCCACTGCACTCCCGGGCCACAGCAGAGAGCTGGCCTGGAAGAGGGGCAACCGGGACAGAATCCGGCGCCCCGACCGGGACTAGATCCCGGTGTGCCGGTGCCGCAAGGCAGAGGATTAGCCTAGTGAGCCAGGGCGCCGGCCACCACCACTGTCTTAATAGAGGTTCCCATGAACTACTTCCTCTCTCTCCAAGCCAGCAGCCACCTAGCCAATATGTTTTTTTCCCCAGGTACAAATCTTCCCCTATTGAAAACCAAATACGGCTCCCCAGTGCTATCAGAGAGCTCCTTCTTCTTACTAAAGTGGTGTAGCCTCATTCCGTGCTGTTCCTTAAACCTGTCACTGACCTTGCAAATGCTCCCTCCTTTGACCAAAACACTATTTCCATGGGAACGTCTCATCACTTCCAAAACACTGCTCATCCACCACTTCTTCAGTGCCGACTCCCCAGTCAGTCTCTGGGGAAAGAACTCTGGGCGACTTCAGTGCCCCCCAGCTGCTGCTGTTCTAGGTACTTCACTCCGAAGTGCAGTCTTTTACCTGCCTCGTTTACCACACTAGGGTCTGCAGAAGCAGGAACCCTCACCTCTTCAGACTCCCAGGCCCTGGCTGTGCGCAGCACACAGTAGGTAGAGTGCGTGTGACACGAGTGCACGGGAAGCATGGCCCTCCCTCTTTGGTGAAATCAGTAACTTGGCTTGTGGCGTGTTCATTCTCTTCTTGAGTTTCGTCTTGAGGCAAAAGGGTGGAAGAAAGTTTCATTCCACAGGCTAGTGATGGAGTGTGGAGCCCAGAGAATCGTGTGCTCTGCAATGTGTCTCTTTCCTGAATTTTCTGTGGTGGGGATGAGGCGGCAGAACGTCAGACACAACGAAGGGCCTGATCAGATTTATCTGCCAGCTGCGTCCCCAGCCCAGCGCTGGGCGAGGGTAGACCCTCGATCAGGTGGTTGACAGACGTGAACCGGCGTAACGGCTGGCAACACCCTTGCAGGATTCTTGAGGTAGAACTCGCACACCTCTTATGACAGGAACAAGACGCAGGCATGCTACTTCAAAGTCCTGCTCTTTGTAAAGCAAGGCTCTCCCGTTACCCACCAGGACTTCAGAACGAAAAGTTCCTTCAGACTGGCTTCAAGTTCTCATGCGTTTTAGCGGAGTGAACCACGTGCAATAGCTTTGCAAGAGAGGTGCTTCCGAGGTGGTTAAGGGCACATTTCTGCCCCTTCCTCGCTGGACAGGATCCATGGAGCACTTCCATGAGGTAGCAGGCACGCTGGCTGCTCTGTGCTCTACTGAACTAGGCAACCGCTGGCCTGTGCCTCCGTACCCTGTTGGCCCAGGCAGGCCTGGTGCGCCCACTCACTGTACCTATCACCGACTTGACTCCAGCATTGCCTAATGACACACTCTGTCTCTCCATTATATATATGTATATATATAATGGATAGGTATATATATTATATATAATGAATATGTATATATATTATGTATATAATGGATATATATGTATATATACACACACACCCTGAAACTCTCCTATATACTAGGGAAACGCGTCCTCTGGGGTCCCCCATTTGACCCTCGGGGGTCGGAGGGGCTGTGGAGCCACAGTCCACGACTCCAGGAAGTCATCGGCGTCCCGGCCAATTTCCTGGAGCCCCGAGAGAGGCAGACAGGTACTCCGCCCCCGGGCGCCAGGCCGCGTTTTCGTTTTGGCCAACTTCTCGGCCCCACTCCAACTCCGGCTTCACCTGGGGCGGCAGAGAAACGTCTAAGCGCCCGACGCGGTCCGGTCTGCAGGTTCTCGGCCTCGAGAGAGGCCGTGCGCCCCTGCCTAGCGGCTCCCACCGGCCGGCAACACCCGGCCTCCGCCCCGGGCTGCGCGACGCGCACCGCAGCCCCGGAGCCCGTGCAGCCCCCCGCGTCCCCGGGGCCGGTCTCCAACTTGCAAAGTGACCAGAGTGGACGCCCGCTTCCCGACGAGGGCGGCGTCGCGGACACGCGGGGCACTCACCTCGGCGCCCACGGGCGGGCGGGCTTCCTGCGGGCCGGCGGCCGTCTCGTGGGAGCGGGGCGAGCGAGCCTGGGCGCGCCCCGCCGGCTCGGGAAGGCCCCGCCGCGGCCGCCCACGGGGGTCTGCGGGCGCCGCCCCGCCCCGCCCCGCGCCGCCCCGCCCCGCGCTTACCTGCGCTCCCGCCCAGGAAGGGCGCGCTCCGCGGGGCTGCCCGCGCCCGCCGCCGCCGCGTCCGGCCCCGGGGCCCGGCGCCCGCCTTCCTGAGTCGGGCTCGCGGGCGCTCCCGCTCCCCGGCTCGGCCCCGGCGCTGCCCCCGGGTGCGCTTGGGCCGGGGCGTCCACGCCCCAGACCGCCCTCCCCTCGCGCCGGGCCCTGCCGCCAGGCGCCCCCACTCCGCCCCGCCATGACGTGTTCCTCCCCTGCGCGCCTTCTTCGGGACGCCGCGCGCTCCGGGTGCGTCCCGGGCTCGCCCGGGCTCCGAAGGGGAACGGCCTGACGGGGCGGGAGGAGGGAAGGGAGACGCGGCAGGGCCAGGTGTGCGGCCGAGCGAAGCGACAGCCCCTCCGGCCACCCTGTGCGCTCCACACTACGTGCAGGCCGCACCCCGGCTGGCTCTCCAAGGGCCTCAGTGAAGCGCTGGGGAGCACCGGGGCCGTCAGCGGGGATGCCTCTCCCAGCCTCTGTGGGCTTTATCACCCTCTAATCAGATCCCGTGGGTCCCGCCGGGAGCACAGCACCCCGAGCGCCGGGCCATGGAAGGGTCTGCGCCCAGGCTCCTTAGGGGACTCGGGGCGCAGAGCTGTCGGCGGCCCAGGGCAGGGAGCTTGGGTTGTCTCCAGGTTCACTCAGGGCGCAGAGCTGTCGGCGGCCCAGGGCAGGGAGCTTGGGCCGTGTCTCCAGGTTCACTCGGGGTGGGTGGAGGTGATGCCAGCCCCTGGCTGGGGCGGGGGAACCCCTCTGAAGTATCTTGGGAGAACCTTCCATGACATGGATCAGAGATCCTGCTCGCTTGACTGTATTAGCCTGGTGCCAGGTGCCAGGTGCTGTGCGGGGACTTGCTCTCCGTTTCCCGTGTGGGCACTGGTGTCCTTTGGCCTCTGCCTGTGTGACTGTGGCAGCCAACTGTGGCATGTAAGGTACAAGAGATCTCTTCTGTGTCTGCAGGAGAAACCAAACGGCTCTGAATTGAAAGCCCAAAGAGAAAACCCAGCACACTCCAGTCCCAGAAATGCCAGGAATGGTTAGGGAATGAGGTAAGACAAAACAACAACAAAAATGTTTTCTTTCAAAAGAAGATTAGATGAGACTTCTTTCCCAGGAGTCCAGGGGCAAGTGCACTGAGTCTGCGTTTGAACAGGGGAAGAGGAGTCCCCGAATCAGGAAGATTAGCAAGCACTCCAGGCCAGCGGGGAGAAAGCTGCGGAGTTCTTCGGGAGAGAGCGCCTGGATGTGGACCGAAGCACCTGCTCCGTGGTGTGGTGTGTTTACCACGCTGGGAGAAGCCCAGTCTCTGGTGACGTCGGAAGCCTACAAGTGCCTACCTGTGAGGAGTTGGTTCCCTTGCAACTGGAGCCCGAAGCAAGAGGTCAGTGTCAGAGTGTGGAGGACAGGGCTGCAGGGCACCAGCACTGGGCCTTGAGTGCTGGCCCGAGGCTTTGAGATTGGCGGTGCCTGAAGCCTTACACACATCACTCAGTCTTTCCCAACACTTTGTGAGATGCAGCCTTGTCCTTGTTTTGCAAATGGGGAAACAGAGGTTCGGAGGAAGTTAAGTCACTTCCTTGAGGCGGTAGCTCAGATTTGAGTGGAACCCAAATTTGAGTCCAAGTGTTTCCAAACTCCCAGCCTGGCTTTTTCCACGGCCTCATCTGCTGGGCAGAAAATGTCTTTCCGTGCAGGAGTTCCATCCTTGAGCAGCGGCAGTGTGCAGACTTCCAGGGACACTGAGAAATACTGTGCTGAAAAACCTACAGCAACCATACAGATGGGTTCCGGCTGCGGTGACAGTTACGTAGGGTTGCTTTTGGAGAAAACAGGAAGAAACCGAGGCAATGAGCCGGAGCCCAGGGCTTCACAGGTGTGGCTGAGGGATGGTCGACAGAAACGCGGAGGTCCAGGGTCGGCGCTGCGGTGTAGCGGGTAAAGCCTCTGTCTGCGATGCTGCCATCCAGTATAGGTTCCCGTCTGAGTCTCTGAGTCCCAGCTGATCCAGTTAAGGCACTTGGAAAAGCAGCAGGGGATGGCCCAGGTGCTTGGGCCCCTGCACGCATGTGGGAGACCTGAAAGAAGCTCTTGGCTCCTGGCTTTGGCCTGGCACAGCCCTGGCCATTGCTGCCACTTGGGAAGTGAATCAGTGGTTGGAAGATCTCTCTCTCTCTCTGTGTGTGACTGACTTCCAAATAATTAAATAAATCTTAAAAAAAAAATGAAAAAAGAAAAGCAGAGGTCCATCCATAAAGTGGTATGCTAGCTGTGCTACACGCGTTAGCAAGGAGAAAAGTCTAAAGCTGACAGGTAATGGCTTCTGGAGCAGAGAGATGGAGGACTTTCGGGTGTATTTGCCCGCATTTGGTTGCCGAGGCTGCAGAATTCGTTGAGAGACTGACACCACTGTGGAGAGCAATTGTGGCAGAAGAGAAGGTGTGGGCGTCCAGGCAGGAAGTTCTCACTCTGGGCGATTGGTGCCTCCCTTTTGAAAAAGCAGGTTAGAGCCCCAGCCTGCTATCTTGTTCTCTTGCCAGCGAAGTCCTGATTCCTATGAACTCATGAATGGCTCCAGGCAACCACAGTGGGATTACATTTTGCATAATCCTCATTATTTTTCTTGTTGTCAGTAAGGGTATTTGAAGGTGCTCAAAAAGTCAGTGGGTTCTAACTGGAGTGAAAACGGGCATTAACATCTGTCTTTAGAAGAGAAACCAAAATAAGCAGATTTGTGAACTGAGAGTGGAAATGGAGGCTCTTTCTGGTGGCCCGTCCCCCTCTACCAACTTCAGCATCTGCTGAATTCTTAGTTTCACATCAGTATATTATTAGGTGAAAACAATCGTTGCCTCTCTCTCACATGTTGTGAAAATCAGTGGGGTATTCAGTATTCAACCGTAGCCGGCCTTGAAGGCTCGGACTGTCTCCATTTGATTTTCTTTCCCAGGAAGGCCCTGTTTCAGACGGGCTGACTTGCAGTATTGGCCAGGAGTGATCCACTTGTGCTGCCTCAGACGGATTCCTATCAGTTTGCAAACTCTGTGAGTGTAGAATCTCTAATACAATATGGTTGTGCTAGGGCTGGCGCCGCGGCTCAATAGGCTAATCCTCCACCTACGGCGCCGGCACACCGGGTTCTAGTCCCAGTCGGGGCACCGGATTCTGTCCCGGTTGCTCATCCTCCAGTCCAGCTCTCTGCTGTGACCTGGGAGTGCAGTGGAGGATGGCCCAAGTGCTTGGGCCCTGCACCCCATGGGAGACCAGGAGAAGCACCTGGCTCCTGGCTTTGGATCAGCGCAGCGCACTGGCTGCTGTGGCCATTGGAGGGTGAACCAATGGCAAAGGAAGACCTTTCTCTCTGTCTCACTCTCTCACTGTCCACTCTGTAAAACAAACAAACAAAACAATACGGTTGTACTCAGGATAGTGTTGCACAACATGGACACAATCTTTGGGTGGGGAAATAGTAAACTGACATTATGACCTTATTGTCACCTGGACCTGGCATATTCTTGCTTATAACACTGTGAGAAGGTCTCGATAAAAAACAGGGCTTGAGAAAGTCCCTGAACAGCAACCTGATGCTTTGCGGAACTGTCTGGAATCAGAAGGCCCGTTGCCAAGGCCCAAGCGCTGAGAGGAAATGATGAGACTACAAATGGTGTGGATAAGATGAGCACAGACTTGTTCATCACATACAGAAATACAGCAGTGTTTTGGGATCACATGTGAGGCAAGTTCAGGACAAGTCAGTGGAAACAGACTTCACACAGCAGGTAGTAAATTTATGGAATAAATGATCTCGCAGAGGTGGAGCAAGCTGGCAACAGGAATGGATTCCAGAGGGGTTTGGACAGATGTGTGAGTGCCAGGGACACAGTGGAGCATGGCAGTGGTCAGAAGCCCGTGGTGGAATTCCACGTGGCCTTTACACAGCGCCGACCTGGGGCCTTACTGGACAACAGAGTCCTGACGCCATTGAGCTTGGGTGTGAACTGATGGGCACTGCCAACACCACCACCTCCTCCTGATCCTGCAGTCGCTGTGCCCCTGGCCTTAGACGTTTTGCCTAAACCTGATAGCCCATTTAAAACACATGACTTGGGGGCCGTTGTGATAGGGCAGCAGGTTAAAGCTGTAGCCTGCAATGCTGGCATCTCTCTCTCTCTCTCTCTCTCTCTCTCTCAACTCTGCCTTTCAAGTAAGTACAATAAATCTTTTAAAAATGTGTGACTTTTTTCATTTTGGCTTTTGACTTCTAAACAGATTTGAGTGTCTGCCTTCATATTGGTTTTTATATTAACCTCTTGCAATTAGATTTATGTTTAGACCTTGTACCCTAAATTACCTGATTCTGATCATGAAAGTGCCCTTAAAAGCAGCTACAACAGTATACTTTTCTGGGAGCACTGTCTTTTTAAAAAATATATTTTTAGAGTCAGAGAGAGGGGGAGAGAGAGAGAGAGAGAGAGAGCTTCATTCACTGGTTCACTCCCGAAATGGCTGCAATGGCCGGGGCTGGGCCAGCCTGAAGACAGAAGCTAGGAGCCAGGAGCTTCTTCCAGGTCTCCCACACAGGTGCGGGCTCAAGGACTTGGACCATCTTCTGCTGCTTTCCCAGGCACATTAGCAGGGAGCTGGAGCAGACGTGGAGCAGCCGGGACTTGAACCAGTGCCCATATGAGGTGCCGGAGTTGCAGGTGGCAGCTTAACGCCCTACACTACAGTGTCGGCCGCGGGAGCACTTTCTCTATGCAATGTCCAGAATGTCTTCAATACTGCACCCAGGATAATAGGAAGAAGGTGACTCTTACGGCCATAGCTCCAAATCGTGGGCCTGGGGAAAGTTCAGGAAATTCTTAGATGTCTCCTCTAGTCTCAGCTTGTCTTCTCACTCCGTCCGTGCACTTTGTGCCTTCTTTAAGTTGTAGAGACAAAGCCCCATGCCTGGTTCTAGCGTGAGGGTGAGAGTGGAGGCGCAGATGGGAGGGCCCTTTGTTGATCCCTCTGGGGCACTGAGGGCTCAGTTTTCATTTTCTGTTCCTGGCTCACAGCCCCCCCCCCCCCCCCCCCCCAGGCTGTGTCCTTAAAGCTGTTGTTACAGCCCTCTCACTGGCTGCTGTAAACGGGACAGGGCTGCTATTCAGGGCCCTCGTGGGGGATTCAGCATCCGCTTTGTTCAGATGTAGACAGCAGGTGTCTGGATCACTTTTGTGGCAGGGGTCTCCGGGCAGGAGGGGAGCCCCACAGAGTTCTCATTTCACCTCTCTGGGCCTCCCCGTCATCTGCTCTTCTCCCGGGGATGGGTTTACCTGTCGATGTACTGAGCGAGCCCCTTGGGTGGGTTTCGTAGAGCAGTGACACGGCCCAGGTGGAAGCCTCCCTGTCATCCGGTCAGGGAGGCTCCTGGGAAGCCCTGCTTGCCCTGCCCGCACGTTCACTCTGGCAGAAGTTTTTGTGAAGGCTGAGATCGTTCACTGCTCTGCCCTGAGGGCCCAAGAAGTAAGTGTGGCTTTGACATTTGCTTCCTTAACTAGTTCAGTGACTCAGAACATTGGGGTTGCTGTGAACAAACTTCCTCTCCCTAGGCCGGCTCTTTTTAACAAGTAGAGGGAAGCGCTGACCAAGCCCTCATGAAACAGTGGGCTGGCCTTCAGTGACCAGGTGGCAAGGCCTGCACTCTGTCTGACTACGTAAACTCCTGTTGACTCGATGCTTTCCCTGTGCTGGTCATGGGGCTGACAGCGCACACATACTGCCTTTAAGTTTCTGACGACCCTGTGAGACACTGTTGTCAAAGCAATCCAACAGATGAGAGAAGTGAGATTTGGGAAGTTGAAAAATTTGTCAAAGGTCAGGTAAGAAGGCAGACATTTTAATAAATAGTTAGAAGTGCACTTATTCAGGCTTAAAATGTCCCCAGGACTATGTGAAATGTTAGATAGGGACCAGTTTTGTGGCACAGCAGGTTAACTACCCTCCCCTACCCCAACACTGGCATCTCATATTATGGAGAGTTGGTATGAGGTACCTCTCTCTCCCTCTCCCTCTGCCTCTCCCTCTGCCTCTCCCTCTCCCTCTCCCTCTCCCTCTCCCTCTGCCTTTCAATAATCTTTTTAGAAAAAATGCATTAGATCTACAAAAGTGACTGAAACTCTAGTCTGGTGGAACTTGTACTAGGTTCAGGTTTCGATCTAGAATTTTCTGAATTCTGAGATCCACTGCTACCCATTTTAATCAACTGGACAGGCTTGGAAGGGTCACGGGACAGAATCAAGTTAAGTGATTCTGGGGTGATAACCTGGAGCTTTGTAATTTTCAGCTTATAAAGATGTTTCACAGGTACGTATTATTTAATTTGACACGACCTTCATTAGAGAGGCAGGGTTAATGAGCAGCTGGGACTTGAAGGGGCTGGTTGCCCACGGTAGCTGCATAACTGGACCGGAACCAAGTGCTCTGACTCCTAGGCCAGTGAGCTCTTGCAGTGTGTTGATGCCTTGGTGGGATCCTGAAATGATCACGTGAAAGCAAAACCCAGACTGACAGACTCAAACACAGTGTGGCTGTCGGCCTTGGAGGGCATTCCTGCACTTGGGGATGCATGGACCGCAGCACTTCAACATTTCCCACTAAATTACCCCTAAAGTACAAGAGACCGTTGCTTTAAAAAGACAATATTTAATATTTTGTGGCTTCATATGCAGTGGACACACATTTCCATCTACCTGCAGGGGTGTGTACACCACAGCTGGAGACGCACAGTACCGGATGACTTAATCTACACTAGAACTGTCCTCTTAGCAACTGGGCTAATCCATCCAGCCTGTGGAATTGCACCTATCCATTCGGCCAGCCAGCCAGCCAGCCACTAACAAACTTGTATGAAGAAACTACAATAACCTCTGCGCTGTGCTGGGTAGGATATGGCCCTGAAGGAATATGTAATCTAATGTGGAGCTGACTATGGGATGATGAGCAGGTCGTGAGAACTGCTTGTAATGAAGTGCTAAACTTTGTAACTGCGATTGAAAAGCAGTAAGAGCCGGAACACTCATAGAGTTCTGATAGATGGCCAGAATCTGAGAAACGTAGGGGAATTGGAAGGGGGAAAGAGAGTGAGAGATTCCTAGGTGGACATAACATGAACAAAGATATAGACAGGAATACTCATGGTAGGACATTTTGGTTAAGTAGCATTAATTATTTGAACACTCTCTTTCTGTCTTAAAACTAGGGAGAGACAAAGGAGAAAAACAAAATGCCGTACATAATCCTGGTAATCATGTAACATTTTGCTTTGGGCTATTCTAGTCTTAAGATTGATTTATTTATTTACTTATTTATCTGAAAGGTTAGAGTGACAGAGAGAGAGGGAGGGACCGGAAGAGAGATTCTTCCATCTGCTAGTTCACACCCCAGATGGCAGCTCTGGGTGAAACCAGGAGCCTGGAACTCCACCTCGGTCTCCGAAGTAATTTGGCTGTTTCCACTGCCTTCCCAGGCGCGTTAGCAGAAAGCTGGGTGGGAAGTAGAGCAGCCAGGACCCCCACTGGCACTCTGATATGGGGGGCTGGTGGCCCAGCAGCGGCTTAACCCACTGAGCCACACACCCGTCCCTATTCTAGTCTTTCAGAAGAGGATTAGGACTTGCATGTAGGCAGTTGGGTTCGCTGAAGGGTGTGACAATGGACTGACCACTCCCAAAGAAAGTTGATCTGGTGGCCTTTCGCTGGAATCACTAGCGTGAGGGGACACCAGGAGACTCGAGCGAGAAACACCAGCGAGGTGAAAGGCCACTCTGCTCCAGCTCCTGCCTTTGAAGCTCACTAACACTGACGAGCCGACTGGAGCTGCGATGAGAGGCAGGGTGGCCACCCACCCAGGGTGCTGAGAAAGCGCTTTAGTCCTGGCGGAGATTTAGTAGCCTGTGTGAACCCTTCAGCATTCCAGGGCTTACATTATTAGCTGTAATAATGAATAATAATGTAATAATGAATATGAAATTCATATTCAATGATTATGGTTCCGTCTTTTTTTAAAAAAAAAGATTTATTTATTTGAAAGGCAGATTGACAGAGTGTGAGAGATAGAAGGAGATCTTCTATCAGCTGGTTCACTCCCCAAATGGCTGCAACAGCCAGGGCTGGGTCAGGCCGAAGCCAGGAGCCAGGAGCTCCATCCAGGTCTCCCACATGGGTGGCAGGGGCCCAAGGACTTGGGCCATCACCTTCAGTCTTCTCAGACTCGGTATCAGGAAGCTGGATCGGAAGCAGAGCAGCTGGGGCTCGAATCAGCACTCCGATTATGGGATGCCGGTGTTACACCAACAGCAGCAGCTGGACCTGCTGCACCACAGTACCGGTCCCTCTCTCTTCTCTTGCTTGTCATTGGACAGCAGTTGGCTTGCTTCACTGAGCAACATGGTGAATGTTACTGAATGATAGAAATCAGCTGACTCTGCTGCTGACAGTCATCGCGTACAGATCTGAGCCCGGTGAGGTTGTTCATTGAGGGCTGCCCTCCCGGGGGCAGCGTCTGCCCGTGTGGCTCCTGGCTCAGCCACCATCCCCTCTAAAAAGGTCTCCTTGGCTCCCCAAGACTGAGGTGGAAGCCACCGCTTATGTTCCCAAAGGACCCTTGCTCACCCAGTAATGACATTTCCTGTTTATCCATTCCCCACACTGCTCTGTAAGCTCTCGTGAGCCGGGTAGGGTCTGGCAAACAGGACATTGCCTGGTAAACATTTATCAGGGAGCGAACATTCCCGGCCTCAAAGCCAGATCCGGGAGCTTTAGCAATGTGCTGTGAGCACGGCTGAGCTTGGCGCCCTTCCTCACGCACTTATCTCCTGGTAAGCCCCTGAGGCATGCAGCTTTTCTGCCCGGGGCTGCTTTGTGCTGTCATTCTGACCTCCTATCCAGGACTGATAGTACACTCGGGACAGCGCCCGCCCTAGGAGGGGCAGTGGACAGGAACAGAACGTAATCCCTGGCGGCCTGGGGTCAGGGTGGGAGCGAGGTTAAGGAGCACTTCCGAAATCAACAAGTTGTTCACTTTCCCCAAGGCTGCCGTGACATTTCCAAGAGAGGACCTGCCTACCCTCCTCCGTGGGGACCTGGGGACTCCCTTTGCACAGTGTCCATCCTGTTGCAGGCAAACCCCGCACCCCTGCTTGTGTTCCACCTCCAGTGTTAGCACGGCCAGCTACGGGCGAGGGCTAGGCGGGAGAAGATGCTGCCGGCTCATCAAGGATTCTGGACGCGGAGTGTCAGGCGAGGGGTGCTGGATCTGAGCTCCTGTGAGATCCGCACAGGTTCCACCTCGAGCCTCAGTGAGGAAGGAAAAACCCATGCACTGACGTCCACTTGCCCCATGGAGGCATACGAAGCAACACCGTTTTTCAGTGGCTCTGAACACGATGAAGACTATTTATGTCTATATATGGCCCGAAAATAGCCCTGCCACAGGGCTGGCTTCCTCATGACGCTTTTTCAGTTTTTCCAGACCTGTGGACTCCAGAGACATCCCGGCTGGACACTGCTCTCTGCAGGCTGCGTGCCACCAGGCTCAGCTACAGAAAATGTGGCTTCCAGCGCGCCTACCCCTGCTGTTCCCCGTCCCTTGCCTCCTCCACCCTTGCCTCTGCTCCCTTGGAATGCTGTGGCTAAAAAGCAAAGAATGAGGCTCTCACAGCTGCAGCCCTGCTAAAAATAGAAAGTTTGTTTATTCTCGTGTGCACAAAGCCCCTTTCCTGCTGTTGCTGTTGTGTGAGTGTCACTCCCAGACAGGAAGGGGACGGGCTCTGTGCTGGTCTCCGGCCAGGAGAATTCCATCCAATGCTGAGGGCTTCTGCCTAGCCCAGCGGGGCCCAGGGGATCCAGCGATCTGTTTTCGGTTTTGCGTGTCTCCTCTCACAGCTGCCACCTGCTCTGCGGCGTTTGGCGTGTGTGTTTCTCGGTTTGCAGATGATCTGCTCGAGTGTTCTTCCCTTTCTCTTTCGTGTGGTCTGCTCGTAGGAGAGGTGTGGCCAGAGGGAGGACTGGGCCAAGAGGCAAGAAACCTGAGT